TTTAGTTTCCCCCCCACCACCCCCACCGGAAACAGCAGAAGCGTTACCAGCGGCGGGGGGGGGGGGGGCTGGAGCAGCGCTAGCAGCAGCGGCGGTAGCAGCGGGAGGAGAAGCTTGAGCAGCGACGGTCGGGTGAGCTTTTTTTTTCTGTAGCGAGACGTGTCGTGTGGCAGTGCGCACGCACGAGCAGTTGAAAGTGCAGCAGTAGTGGCGACGGTTTTAAGAGAGGGTTGTTGGGGCAAGCCAACAATACCGTAATAGTCGGGGAGATGGCACCGGTCGGAGAGATGGCACCGGGGTGCACAAAAACGTACAAGAACGGCATGATTTACTTCGATTTTCGCACCGGGATTCCAACCCCTAATGCAACATTGAGCTCCTTCTCAGCTGCCAGAATTAGGTGCATACACGTGCGAATATTTTACATGTCGGGACGGTGTCAGCGGAGCGCCACTCCTGTATGTACGTTATGCACGGTCGCGGTTCACGCGGGATGCCAGTTGATATCGTTCTTTTTGTTGGTATAGAATTTGCCAACCGTACACTCAAATCAACCAAACACACAAACGTACAAGCCGCACCCTACCCCACCTTACCCAAACCCGAAACTATCATACTGCTGTGTACGTACTGGTATCCGTAGAGGAAGACCGGAACGAAAGCGAGAATCAACAGATACCGTATGTACCAGTACCTCAGATGGACAAGACATCGTTTGTTTGTCGTCACGCCATAGCCAAACTCGCATCAAACACAAGACCACTCGCTGCATGGAAAGCCGTTACGTACCACCCTACGTTACCGGTACCGGTGTGCTTCCAACCAGCAACAACGGTACCTACACGTGTGGTTCTATACTGATCAATAGCATCGTCAACTAGCGATGTGTCGTAGCTCCGTCTGCCTACACTGGTATCGATACTATGGTACCAGTCGGGGAGATGGCACGGGGTGCATGTATACAACACCTGTGTGTATTTCATCGGGGATCGCACCGGTCGGAGAGATCGCACCGGGGGTGCCTTGCAAAAGCTAAACGAAATGTTTTGATTGCGTTTCCGCACCGGGGTCGGAGAGATGGCACCGGTCGGAGAGATCGCACCGGGATGCGATAAAACCCCCCAGGAAAAATCTTTAAAAAAACGATCGCACCCGGTGCCATCTCTCCGACATTACGGTACTCTCTGAAATCTCGGTTTCTCTTACACAATCCTGTAAAATACATTTGTTTCTCATGGTCGGGACGGGACAAACGAAAAACACTCTGTTTAAATCAGATTTTCTTTCTCAATAATCTCTCTTTAACCGTAGCCGCTACCGCTGTACGGGCAGCACGAAAGTACTCTCGCCAAGCTCGCGTATCGGCATGGTTAGTCTCGGGGAGCCTCGTTTTGGGCTCCCTTGCTATGGTCTTCCCTTGAACGCGCTAAGAAGCTTAGTGTTATGATCATCGCCACCCGTACGTATGATCCAAAGAAACGGGTCACTGCATCAAGCCGGTGTGTCGGTCGGCGCGCATGCGCGGTACTAGTCTTGGATTAGACCGAATATTTGGCGTGCCCTGACCCTCTCTTGCACCGTAGCAGCTATTTACTACAATGGCTCTTGTAATGTTTTTTTCCTCTCTTGCACCGCGGCCGCTACTATCTATACTGCTGTTGTACATGATATCTCGCGTAAGTAGTAAGGCGCGACCCGAAAAATCGATTCCTGTGGTCCCGCAATCGCAACGTGTAGGTGTTCTTCGAGGACGTGGACGGGGAGAGAGACGTGGAGCCACAAGCCGCCAGGGCCGAGGATCCAATGGCTAGGGTGGGGCTGCTCGGGATGCTCGGGTCAACAGACGATGTCCCGTCGGACCCTCGAAGGTGCCTATCTATCCGGAAGTATCCGCTTTTAAAATATGTGAAAACTTTTGCACTGTGCCGGAGGACGGTTTTGTTGTAGATGCTCGAATCGGGATTATTGACTGTTAGGGATGGTGGTTGTATTCGTGCTTGCTTATATATATATTTACCTCGAGGTTGGGTTATCTCGTGCGGACCGCCATGCGGTTCTGCGCCGGTGTGAACAGTAGGGAGAGAAGGAAATACTCATACTGCGTGTCGGTCATTACGGAACATTTTTGGGCCAAGACAACGAGAGGTGCCATGGTTGGTTAGGGACGGTGACATCGGAGACCGTGAAGTCGGCCGCCGTTGTGCCGATGGGTGGCGAAGGTAATGGTTGGAAGAAAGAGCAATAGTGATGACCGTGGCCATGATGACGGGGGAGTCCGATGTCCGGTGTGTTGTTCGTTTTACGACGCTGCTGTCGCACGACAAGTCACGGCTGTGAAAGTTCAACGATCAACTCACATCTCACAAACTTCCTGTGCGTTTTCGACCATTGCACGAAATGCCCATCCTTCTCCGCTCGGTGAAATGCTAGTAGCCTGGTCCGGTGAAAACCCGGCGTGCTCCGTCCCGGCTTTGTAGGGATGCGAGGTCAATGGTGTGACGACGCATGCACGGCAATGAGTACACCTCCCTCCTCCCCGCCGAATCATTGGCCAGTTTCCAACCCGGCGGTCTACCTTCCCGGTATTTAAGGCGGTGCTACAATCGCCACCCATCTTGCAATGACAACGCGGCTGGTCTTTCAGAACCCCTGTGGAATCCCCCGTTTTTCGAGCAACAGGTTTCGCCTAGGGCGCATTGCCCGCCACGGAGAAACGAGAGAGTGACCACCATCTCACCTGTGTATGTATGCAATCCCATCCCTTGGCTGGCATTGGCTATGCAATCCCATCCCACCATCCCACCCGTGTATGTATGCAATCCCATCCCTTGGTTGGCTCTGCTACCACCACCACCTAGTCCCATTCACATGAACCACCCACCCATGTATTGGAGCACGCCACACACTGTTACCACTACGCGTCCCCCCGCCCCCCGTTACAGCAGCGTCATGTCTCGGTTGTGGAATACTTGAGACGGCGCTCCTTCACAAAAACTGCGAGGACGCGTGAGACGCTCCTTCCTAATGAAACTATGAGGGCGCGTGCTCGACGGTACCACAAACAACACCACCACCACCACCACCACCACGGTGGCCTAGCTTCTGTCGGCACTAGTCCCCACCACCACCCACCCGCCGTCCCACTGCCCACGCTAAACCCTATACCCCACTACCCCACCCAGGCCCGACCACGACGACCGCGACGCGCGGTGGCGAGGGGGCAGGGCGGGCTTCCCCCCGGGAGCGCGAACCGGCATCGCAACCTCCACGGCCAGAGGCAGGGGGGCGCGCGGCGAATCGTCGAGCGAGCTGGCGTGGGAGAGAGGTCGTCTGCGTGGCCGGCGGGAGCGAGGGCGGCGGGGGGCCCGTGGCGGAGTCTCGGAGGAGGGGGGGGGGGAGGATTTACATGGCCGAGGGAGGTGAGCGGTGGGGGGGAGATCAGGTCAGGGCTTTTAACTCGTTCTAGGTTGCCGCCGCCGTGTGGCTACTGTACCACCGTAGAGTGGAAAGGCAGGTGATTTCGTCGAATTCTTGGCCGCGTGACGGCCCGGGAGAATGTCGGCGGGTCCCGCCGGTTGGGTGATGGGAGGGGATGGGGGGGGGGGGGAGGTGACGATGTTCTTGAACCCCCTGTTGTTTTTTGGCGTTCGTGTACCCACATACCTCGGGCTACCCTCCTGTGCTTTGTCTTGCTCCTTTCACCCTAAATCTCTACCAGCCTTATTCGAAAAACAGGTGGGAACTTTTTATTTTGCGAGCAAACACCGGCATGAGTTTGCTTCTTGTTGTTGTTTTGCTTTTTTTGTTGTCGAGGGAAGCGCCAATGAGGTTTTGGCGCGGAGACGTACTGGTAGACCCCGGCCCCTTCCACGGTTACTGGCGCGTTAGACGCGGCTGTTTTGTGATGGTTCTCCTGCAACAGTTGCCCCCACAGCTGAGGTTGTTGCTTCCACGACTGCCGTAGGCTGATGAGGATCTCCCCGTGCCTCGGAACCCCCCTTGCGCTGTGTTTCGTATCTCCTCCAGGAGGCGGACGAGGAGAGGTCGAAGCCCGGGGGGTGAGGAGGTTGCGCGGAGCCTCAGCAGAAGCATCAGTCGGGAGAGACGAACTAGGTATGCGGGTTGGTTTTGCAGCACCACCACAAGTAGCAGCTGTAGTAGCAGCAGCAGCAGCAGCAGCAGCAGCAGAGGCTGTTGTCTTCGTGTTAAATATCGATCGGACATCTCTTCTTCGGTTCTGTTCAAGGTAGAGAACATGTTTTCGCGTCGCAGGCTTACCCTATGTGATGTTTGTATGCATATGGGTGTTCTGTCGTTTTTTTTACCTCGTGCAGAACCCCCCCACACTTAGGAACCTCTGTTGTTGTTTCGGCCGAGGGTGGGGTTGTTACCCTATTCCTAGGGTCATGCTTCGAATGGTCGCTATATAGGTTTTAGCGTAGGGGTCCTCAACCGAGCTCTCAAATGGTCCTCAACTTGTTAAATTTTGTTTTTTTTAGGCTCAATTTCTTAACTCCTGAGTTCGGAAGTGGTGGGTGGCGCGCGCGGCATGTACCTACCGCATTCGCCAGCATGAGAGAAAGAAACTTGTGCATACCAGGCTGTCTCGTTCTTTGGCGTCAATTGGGATGCCGTGTTGGTGTCTGTGTTGTTCGTATGTTGCAGGGCTTTCGCCAGCGTGAACGCAAGCCTCATGCACGCATGCGAACGGGCATGTTCGTGTAAATGTGGCTATTGCGAGGCAGTGTGAAAGAGAACTGAGTCTTCGCTCATCTTCTGCCAAGAATTACCAGAATGTTGCGTGTGCCGCTACATTTGCGAAGTAGCAGGGCGCAGAGCGAAAGCGGTAGAGCTATGCGGTTTCAACATGAAACTAAAATACGACGAGGGTTACAAAACGCTCATGCCTCCGGTGCTTGAGGAGGTTCAGGGTGATAGCTTTGTTTCTCCTTCCATGTTCTGGCTTTGTTTCGTTTGCTGTCGTTTCTGCTGCGAGCATACGAAAAAACGTTTAGACATTTTACGTTCTTGATACTTTCCCACGATATGTCATCAACAGAGAGAATCCTCCTCGACGAACGTTGGTGGTGTGACCCTTGTTGATGGCAATTGTGGATGATACCCTCTTTCTGGCCTCTTCTATCTTCTCTCCTCGCCCAAACGGAGAAAAACTGCCTGCCCACTGTACTAGCGGGCCACAGCTACAACGACCTTGGTGCCGTTCTACCACATCACCCACGGAAGGAGCCTTTTTATGCTATCGTATCTCAACAACTCTTATGCCGTTTTGTGGCTAACATTCTCGGCGACCGGGTTGCAGGCAGAGTAGCCGGAGTCGAAGCGCCAGCTTGCGAAGGAGCAGGAGCCGCGACAGGGCCGTCACCGGGTAAGTAATGGACAGCGACCGGGGGAAGCGGTATGGGACAGATCAAACCAAATACTGCTCGGCGTAATTTCCAGCACAGCAGTACGTGACATCACGATTCGCTTCTTGAAGGTTCCGAACGGGTAGGAAAAAGTGTCTCTGTTAGGGAGAAGAAACGATGCTCTCCTTCTCCTTGAACGATAGTAGGTGCTCGTGGTGATTTGATTGGTCAGCTGGCTACGATATTCAAAGGCAATTTAACCAATGAGCACACGGCACCCGTTTTTTTATGAACCCCACCTCTTCGTCATGATCAGGCTGCTGGACGAGATTATGGGCAAGGTTAATCCTGCCGATGTCGCTAAGACGTGGACCCACGACATGTACGAAGAGGCGGCGGGGGCGGACAGGTAAGTGCTTTAATGCCGGGGTCTGGTATATAGCACGAACGTTGTTTTCCTTCTGGTTTTCGTGTGATATTTGGCTGAAAAGCAACCCGACGAAGGCGTTGCTATTAGTCCCAAGCTGTTATTTTGTGTGTGTGTGTGTGTGTGTTTGCTCTTGCTGGCCAGTTTGTATGGTTAACTTTTTGTCGTTCGGCAGCTCAAACTCCACACACCCGGTTAACGCGGTCGGTGCTGATTAAGAAAACGTGCACACACACACACACACACAGCCACAGCTTATTTCTTTGTACTGGTGCTGTAGACGCTGTGCGTGCTGTTTTTACCTGCTGGGGATCTCTCAGAGCTATGTGCAGACAGCTGCTGCGTGTACACCCGTTTTTTGAGATGCCGACATGCACACAACGTGCGTGCTGCATGTGCGTGCGTGTGCGAAGGGGTAGGCAGAGTGAGGGAGGTGCTGCGCTGTGAGGAGGGTCGGCTTACCAGAGCATAGATGAAGCTGGCGTGCGAGGTTATACGGGTCGGGCGTTGGTGTTTGCTGCTCTCCTGAGAGACGTTATCTCGTGTGCCGTTCCTCGTTGTTGTTTTCTTTGCTAACGACGGTTTGGGGTCCTTGTTGCGAACTTTCTCCCGGCCGCGAGTCCCCCCCCCCGCCCGCGCACTCCCACACCTCCCCCTGCTCTGCTCGAGCCCACCCACGAATCCGACATAGCAGAAGCGCAGCAAATCGCGACCATGTGGGGCGACTTCCAGAGGGAGGTTGACCTGATGATACCCGCCGTGTCGTGAGGTCAAACCTCCTCTTGGAAGTCGCCCCACATGGTCGCGATTTGCTGCGCTTCTGCCGTTGAGGGAGTTTCTACTCGTGTGCACGCACGTCCCTGCTCTGTTCCAGCCCACCCACGAACCCGACATGGCAGAAGCGCGGCAAATCGCGACCGTGTGGGGGAAACTTCCAGGAGGAGGTTGACCTCACGACGCGTCATGACATCGCGTCCGCTTCTGCCAAGTCGTACATGTCGGATTCGTGGGTGGGCTCGAACAGAGCAGGAAGAAGTGTGAGAGTGCGCGGGCGGGGGGCGGGACAGCCGTCGTCGGAAGAAGAACTAAACGAAACGTGAAAGGCACACGAACGGCAACTCTCTCAGTAGAGCAAGCACCAACGCCCGACCAGAGTAACCTCGCACGCCCATTCCCTCTATGCTCTGGTAAACCGGCCCTCTTTACAGCACAGCACCTCCCTCACTCTGCCTTATCCCGTCACACACGCACGTATGTAAAGCACGGACGTCGTGTATGGTATGCCGTCTACACCTGTTCTCTGTCTCTATCGTTCCACCAGCAACAACAGCCACTTTTCCCGCAAGAACAGGCGAAGCCAGCGTTTCAAGCTCCCATTCTTAACCTTGAGGACAGGGGGGGGGGCGAT